TGGCCAGTGCTCGCCATCTTTCAAAATAAAATCCGGTAGTTATCACAGCCGGCACGTAAATCAGGCCTGCCCCGATACCTCCTGACAATGCAAGATACAAAGACCACGTGAAAATAATAAGTGATAAAGCACGGAATTTTCTTTTTTTTTTTTCTTTTATTTCCCCCACTATTCTACTCGAGACTCGTTTTACGTACGATTCTACATACAAAATGATAGATGAAGCTTTATCTTTTAAATTGCTTAATTAATATATAATTTAATAAATAAATCTCATGTTTTTTTTTTTGTATCAATTTTTATGTTTGTTTTAACTTCTATTTTTACCACTCGATTTATTTAAAATCGATTTTTTTAAAATGTCGAATTATGTTAATTATCTTTTATGTGTGTTATGCGTAGTGGATTTTATTTAAATCCTTATATATGATAATATATATGGTAATTTCGAGATCGCGTGATTTCGTCGATAATTGCACAACAGGGAATTCATTCAATTCCCAAACTTTAATAATTTAAACGTCAATTATTAAATATAATTTATATCATTTAGAGTATTTAGAGTAAATTAATTGCGCATACATTTTAAATATTTCCTGTTTTCTTGCATATCACGTGTATTCTATACGATTTAAAATTTAAAAGCTAATAATCTAAATTTTAAATTTAAGGTTACTACGAGCAACTATATGCATGTATCTATGGTTCTATTAAAATTTCGATCGAACAAACAAGAGGATGAAAAGAAATGTCGTTCACGTGCCTCGAAAAGGAAACGTTCTTTACATGCAAGATGAAATACTCAGGATGGAGGGAAACTTTTTCGTTGAGACAGCAGAGACTTGGATGAAATGTGTACAGGACGAATGGACTTAGAAAAAAGAGTATACTTAAACGTTTGTACAATTTGCGAAAGGACAAAGATGCGCAGAAGGATGTGCAAATGGCCTTGAAATCGTGCAAATTTGTCCTTAACATTCAAAGCTTCCGAGAGCCACGGGAATATTTAAGCACCCTCTTCCACGTTTCCACCCGGTATATAGGATAAGGACTTACCGAGCACGCCGTAAGAGATATAAAGGAACTCGATGGAAGTGCTGAAGTATGAGAGAACGAAAGCACTGCAACTTATCACACTTCCGAGGATCGCGACCAACCGGAAACCGTACCTGTTGGCCAACGCTGACACGAATGGACCTGTGAACACGGGAGCCATGATTGTAAAAGTATAAAAAAAAATATATATAAATTAATATAAATATAAATATAATATGAATATAAAATATAAATTATTTATACCAGAGAGAAAAAGAATTTATTTATTAATAAGAAGAAGAAAAGATTATTAAAAGAAAATGGTATCTACAGACAGACAGAGTATTATCTTTAGTTGAGCTAAATTTTGTGTTATCAATCGTATTGATAAATTAATTAATTTAGAAATAAATTAATCATGAAAGTATATAAATAAAAATAAAGAGATATTAAATATGAAAATAAGGAAATATAAGTACAATTAAATAACACACGTTAAAATAATTTTATTCGTTTCTATATTTATAATAAAACGACGAAAGATATACTATATTGTATATTAAAATATTACAAAAAAAAAAAAAAAATCGCCAATGTTTTCCCAATTTACGATATAATTGAAAACATTATGTTTTAAAAATATTTTAAAAATAAGACGGGGAAAGAATAAAAAGAAAAAGTGATTCAATATATATTGCAGATAAAAGAAACATATTTTTCAAGAATAATCGCTCGAGTATCGGAGGATTTATATTCCTTTTTTTGTCACTGACCAGCCATAAGATAAAATCCAGATTGCAGGGAGCCAACTAGCGCCACTCTCGCCTTGGACACCGCAAATGCGTCCGATATGTCGTTTAAAAAGACACCGAAGCTAAAGATGATACCGTCCACGAACAGATTGCACATGAAGGAGGCTGCGACGATCACCCAACCCCATCCACCATCCGGCGGCACCACCATCTCGACCTCGATGCTCTATCAACAACAATCGTGAATACATGAATCTCTGGAGAAAATTTATTTCGACGAGAAATTTCTCGAGAATTTTCCTTGAAACTCTCTTTCCATTACCATACTAATAGGCAATAACGCGCCAGATAAGATATCAGATCGGTTTCACGCTTCGGTTGGACGTTCGAGTTTCTTCGTTTCTGCAATTTTCTTAATAACGTTTGCTACGAGAAATAAATTAACAACAAAGTTTGATAGTCGTTTAAAGTTTCGTTCAAAGAATGCACGTCTTGCGCGTCTGTTTACTGTCTGCAGGAACGGGATGGACGTTCGAGAGAAGGAAAAATTTAGCTCGTGAAGAAATGATGGACAAGGAGAGGGATTTCGTCATCCGTGGAAATTCACGAGGTTCTCTCGAGATCAAGGCTAAGTAACGCCGAAACCGGCTGCTGGCCTGGCCACTTTCGCATTTCGCTAGACACCGCGTGACCCAAAACTCTGTCGAGTTATCATGGAGACATGTTTTACGCCTGATATATCGGCTAAGAACGTATGAATTACTGCGACGAGTATTTTTAATCACGTGCAACGTTATCTGCCCATATTAAACATCGAAGTATGCGTTTCGCAAGTTTCACCGTTAAAACTTCTCTTTTGATTTATTCTCTTTCCAATCGAACCAGATCTTTCTTCTCGAGAATATATATATATATAT